AATATTTCTCCACATGTACAGTTCTTAGTTGAAAACACGCAAACTTGCCTGGCCGCAGAGCCTCGCTTAGCCGATGCAGATCCCACGGGTCGATCACTTGACCTCAACTTACCTGTGTACAGTACCTGCACAGTTCCCTGGAGTTGAACCCGTGACCTGCACGATAGCCAGTGGTAAGTAGGTCGCCGTAGGTTGTAGGCTGTAGGGAGATTCAAACTGTAGACCTGTAAGGTAGGAGTCCAAGTAGAGTCCAGAGGCCTAGCTTTAGTCCTTCTAGAAGGTCGGCAAGTGGTCAAGTGGTAGGCCCACGTTTTCAGACGACGACAAGTGGCAAGGTCAACAGGTAGGACCTCGGTGCAACTGCACTGAGTCGACGGTACGATTGCCTGCAGTCAGCAGAGGGGTCTAGAGAGTCCCAGTCCAGTCCAGCAAGTACCACAGGGGGACTATGAGCACCAAGGGCCGATGGCAAAGGGCAGACCAACGAATTTCTGAAGTATAAATCAAGAGGCAGCGCCCAGCCATTCATTCATTCCTGCGTGAGCCATGCGGAAGCGCTGCCACAGCGACTTGTGCAAGGAGGTCTGCAGATGAGCCCGNCATTCATTCCTGCGTGAGCCATGCGGAAGCGCTGCCACAGCGACTTGTGCAAGGAGGTCTGCAGATGAGCCCGGAGGACGCAGTGGGCAAGAGAGGAGGAGTTAGCATAGCGATAGGTTAGAGGGAGCCATAGCTGTCATAGCTATAGTTAGTAGTGAGTGTGTGTGTGTGCTCGAGTGTTAAGAGTGATGCGTGTGGGATATCCAGGGTGATCCAGTATATGTGAACAGTGAGATGTTTGTGCGCTGAGGTCGCCATAGCCAATTGGGAGTGAACTCGTATCTGACAACCATATCTCTGAGTTTTAAGTGGGCGCATGTCGCCAGTGTGTTGCGTTACTGTTTACATGTGTGAAAAGTGTGTTTGAAAACGAGTCTGATTGGACTACTTCGTATTCCTAAATCTGCTTGAATATCCTAGCCCAACCTACCATGTATTTTCAAACCAAGACCACCTAATCTCGGTGGTGGAACTGAGCTCCAGACAACCAACATTGTACACTCCCTCCGCCTGCTGTTCCCTCCGCCAGCCTACTGTGGCTGCATAACCGAGTGACCAGGTATCTCCTACAGTAAAAAGGGGCCAACATGGCCAGCAAATCCTCACAAACCAAAGAATAGTACCAACTTAATAATATCCAAGCTCTAGAACTAAACTATCCTCCAATCGTCAATCGGCTTCCAAGTTAGGAGGAAAACAACCAGGAGTCCAAGCACAGTTGATTGTTATCCCCTATCGTGCACAATTTGCCATTCAATGCCCAAGTTTGGTTGAACCAATGTAACCCTGTCTGAGAGTTTGATCTCGATGTTACTTTTCATCTCCAATCTGCTTGGATAGCATGTCTGAGATGGGTTTTGAAGGTCTGGCGGATTTGTTTGTTGGTCCAGTCCTGGTTGTCAAAGACTCTGTCGTTTCTACATTGCCAGATAACCGCAAAGCATACTGCTCTAGCAGATTGAGCCACAAAACCCCAACCTTTGGAGATGGGGATATCTGCCAGAAGACCGCCCAAGAGAGCCCATTCCTTTGTCCATGGAAAGGCATTGCTGGAGATATAATCCCACCTGCTAATCCACCATTTCCATATTCGGGCTGAGGCAGGGCAGTCCCACCACGGATGTACTGTGGATTCGAACGCCCATTGGCACCGAATGCAAGTAAGATTTATCTCCATCCCTCTTTCAGCGAGCCACACCGCTGATGGGGTTGAAACTAATGAAACCAACCATAGCAGAGACGCATGTCTTTGGTTCGCAATTAGTTTAAGTTGTTTCCAACAAGCTGACAAAGCTCTGTCTATCTCCTCCAACTCCAGTTGCAGGAGTTGTGCCCATCTTTCTCGGGCCACCACCTGTGGCAGTTTCAGCAGTCGGTTCACAGTGTACCCAATTCTAATTGAGTACTTAGCAAGAGTGGCATTTGTTCCCCTATCTCCTTTTACTGTCCATTCCCATAGGACCGGATCTAGCTTCAACTGGAGAATGGGGGAACCCCTAGATATGGTTTGACAGAAAGATAACTCGTCCGAGCTGGCTGTCTCAAAAACGAGAATCTGCTGCATAGATAAGCCCAGTGGGGGCTCCTTTTACTGTCCATTCCCATAGGACCGGATCTAGCTTCAACTGGAGAATGGGGGAACCCCTAGCTATGGTTTGACAGAAAGATACCTCGTCCGAGCTGGCTGTCTCAAAAACGAGAATCTGCTGCATAGATAAGCCCAGTGGGGGGGGAGGATTTTCCTCATCTAGTGACAATATCCTTCCCTGTTGAATTTCCCAGCACTCAAATTCTCTGCGGCCATCAATCTTAATATTGACCAGCTTCCAGGCTTGTTCAGGGACTGCCTGGGCAGTACTGAATCATGTACCCGGGGGATCCACCCCTTCTGGAGATATTAATTGTTTCCATTTCTCTGGAATGGCTTCGATAATAGCTCGTCTCCTTCCTTCCTTCGGTAACTGTTTCTCTGGAGATATTAACTCCTCTTCAGTTCTCCAGCAGCCCAAGATTGGATTCCACAGGTCTTGAATTCTAAGAACTCCCCGCTCTATCCATGTGCAGCCGAAGCTTGCTAGGGACGAATCTGCTTTGAACCATTCCCCCGCAAAATCTCTTATTCTTGGATTTTCGAACACAGGTTGCATCATCACTTCGGCCTTCGTGTGAGGTTCATTCCATATTGTAGGTCTGATTCTCTTCCAAGCCTGTATAATCGCTGACCAAAACGATGACTTGACGTGTCTGCGCTGATCTGAATATAGCAGCAGACATGTCCATAGGTCTGCCGGCCTTGAGAAATGCCATTCCCTGGCCAAGATTCTTTCTGCCAAATGAACCCAATGGGGAGGGGGGCTAAGGAGAGTGGCCTGGATAATCCAAAGCACTAACATTGCATTGTTCTGTTGCTGCGGATCCAACATTCCCAGCCCACCTTCACTACGGGGATAGCACAGCATTTCCCAGGCTACCTTCAATATAAAGGCATCCCCTTCATCTGAGAAGGGTTTCCAAATGAATCTGGCAGCTCTTCGTCTAGATAGTGTATACAGTTGAGATCCCAGTCCACATACTCTCCCTACATACCATAGTAGAGGAAACAGAGCCCCATTAACTACCATCACCCTACCATAGATTGATAAATGAGGTGCTTTGCCCCACGATACCACTCTCTGCGTAATCTTTTGCAGTACAATTCCATCCTGGGCTTCCGCACAGTTCGACAGGGATATTTGGACTCCCAAAAAACGTTCTGATTCACCGACCCCAATGCGCTTCATTCCCCACTGCACCACTAACGAAAATTGCGTTGGGAGAAAATAGACTGACTTATGCCAGTTTATAACTGCTTCAGACAACGAGGCATACTCATCCAGGCAGTATTTCAGGGCAGCAAGCGACTGGGTAGAATTCTCCACTACAGCAAATAAATCGTCAGCCAATGCTTTAACCTTGTATGGAGTTGGGCCTGCTTGAAGTCCAACTATCTGTGTGTGTGCCCGAATGTTGTTGAGAACCCCTTCCATTTGAACAGCAAATAGTAGGAGGGCCAGAGGGCAGCCCTGGCGTAGAGGCCTGGTGAGAGGGCAGTCTTGAGACAATCGACCATTTATCATAACTGCAGCGGTGGAAAGCGTGTATAGGGCCGATACCCAAGTACATAAGTTTTTCCCAAACCCCATCCAATCCAAGGTTGAGAGGACATAAGACCAATTTACACGGTCGTATGCCTTCTCCAAATACAGGAGAAGGACTGCCATGTCGAGCTGTTCATTCTGAATTACCTCCACTGTCGATTGCCGTAACAGTGTTGTCGAAGATTGAGCGACCCTTGATGAAAGCGGCTTGGTCCGACAGCACTAAATCTGGAAGATAGCGACCCAGTCGTCTCGCCAAGACTTTGGCCAAGATTTTATATGACACGTTTAGGATGGATATTGGGCGCCAGTTCCGGATTTCAGTTCTATCGCCTTTCTTGAAGAGGACAGAAATAATTCCTCAACACATATTCAACGCTAGTTTCCCTCCTGTCAGACACTCATTGTAGATTTCAACCAACTTTCCTCCTACCACGTCCCATATAGACTGGAACAGTTCAGCTGGCAGGCCATCATCCCCTGGTGCTTTACCTGTTGCCATTGCCTTGAGTGCCTCATGAGCTTCAGCGATTAGAACAGGCCTGTCCAAATCTAACCTACCAGCCTGAGAGAGTCTAGCCTCTGTGTTGATCCAGTGCTGTGAGTCCTTGTGGAGGTCGGACCGAGTGTTGGCTCCCTGAGTTCTAGAGGTCAAAATATCCCTGTAATATAGCGCCGCATAGTTACAGAGTTCAGTTAGTTCTTTTGCTACCGGAGCGACCTCGTCAAACGGGTGCTTTAACTCCTTCATAGGTACCGTGGCTCTTCTCGGGAGTAGCTTATAGAAGGCTAAGCTTATAGAAGGGTTCAAGGCTTAGCTTATAGAAGGCTTCCTTTGTCATGCGGTCATGTACCGCAATGCCTTTGATACGCAGTCTGTCAGCCCAGATTTCAGACTGTTTACATTCGAGCTCTTCCCATTCAGCCAGCAGCCTATTTCTTTCCTTACCCCACACATTCAGCTTCGATAAATTGATAAAGATTGATCTTCTTCCAAAAAAAAAAAAAAAAGGAAGGGAAAAAAAGAGAAGATGATGAAAGTCCGTGGAAACAGACAGGTCTGCACCAACCCGATCCAGTTTCTTTTTTTTTTGGGGGGGGGGGGAATAGTTACCTTGCGTCAAAAAGGTTAACTAGCAATTAACCAAGGGTTTAGCCTCCTGATAAGTATTTTTACTATTATCAGTTGAGTAGTGTTTTCAATAACATAACTACCAGAAAGGCTGCTGCGTAAAAGTCAAAAATAAAAAATAAAAAATTATGACTTGAAGGGCACAAGACGTGAACAAGACAACAGGAGAGACGAAACAAAATGCTTCGAGACATATCTGTCGAGTTCAATCAGAATGATCCGTACATAGTCTGATGATTACCATGGGCCCCGCGCGTTCAAAGATGGCACACACTAATCCAGAGGGAGGGAAAAAAAGAAAAACAGGCCATTCGACAGTGTGCACAGCAACACACTAATCGAGAAATGGTACAGCAGGGAGGAAGAAAAAACAACTCATATACTACTGTGTGCACAATAACACCACGACGACGACCACAACAACGAAGACCACGAAGAAGAAGAAGAAGAAAGGCAGGAGTTTGAAGAAAGCAAAGAGTCGAGTGCAAGACCGTGATCCAGCTCCCGTCATCGTCGTCCAATATACAATATGAGCCTCAACGCCCCCCAAAAAAAAGCCTCTACCGCAGTGATACACGTGTACATCGAATGAACGCAGTTTTCGCAACCAAAAGGTCAAGAGAGCTCCTATTACCTCCTGATGAGTCGGTGAAACCCCGGCGAAACCGTTAGTCACAGCCCCTCGTATGTTGTCCTCTTCGCCCTCGCTGCCTACGGCTTGCCGGGCAGTTCTGTTTGACAATATACATACATACATATACATAATTAATATTATATATTAGGGTTCAGCCTCCTGATGAGTCGGTGAAACTCCGACGAAAGAATTTCTCACAGCACCTCGTTTGTTGTCCTCTTCTCCCTCCCTCTGTGCCTACGGTTTACCGGGCAGCTCTGTTTGACGATATATATCGACAAACAGAACTGCCTGGTAGTAATATCATACACATGTTTATATACGTATGTTTATATGTATATATATACTGTAATCTATTTATTTCTCTTGATTGCAAATGCATTTCTACGGAACATGAGCAAATCAGGCATGACACGTTGACAAGTAATCAACATGAATAAATATATCATAAAACAATAAAGTGAAACATACTCATCTCCTACGGTAACGACAAGAAGCATGAGGATGCTGACGTGGAGGTTTTCTGCGTATTTTGCCTAAATTTGTCGGTTAGTATGCAATTTGATAACAATAAGCGGATGATGAAGTAGTGGGGTTGGACGAGGCCGTGGGGTTGGATAAAAGTGGCGATCTAAATATAGGGCTTCGCTCCACCACTTACAAAATGTGGAAAATGAGAATGAATCGTCCGCTAGGACATGGAACAATACGCCGTCGTAATTTTCGTCTCTTGTGCATGTGGTGAGTGGTGGAGCGAGGCCCTTAGATCGATGAAAGGCGGACGAACAGAAGCATACCTCTGCACGGAACAGGAAAGCAAAGAAAAAAATTAAAAAATCCCGCCGCCAGAGAGACACTTAAAGAAAAGGGCGGGAAGAGGAAAAGGGCTTGCTCGCGAACCGGGGAAGGAGGGACGGAGCGAGGAAGGAAGGGAAACACGGGAGAGTGGACAATCTGAAGATAGAGGCTCGAACCGCTGACCAATGCGAGCTGCTGCGCCCGGTGTTATACGTCGACGGCGCCAATCTTCTTCCTCTTCCTCCTCTTCTTCCTTCCTTTTTTTTTTTCCCGAACTTCTGATCAACAATCGCGCGGCGGCGGTAGAGACGAAGCCGGGTTCGGCTGCGCAAACCCGCCATTGGCCACGGCTGAGAACCCATTACCGTACATCTCGTGGGACTTGTCGCAGCCGCTCTTTTTCCTTTCGGCCTCGTCCAACGAGAGCGCGTTACTTGGCGCATTCTCGGCTTGCCATGTCACACCCACCAAGGCGCGAGATGAGGCCGCCATGCCCGTCTTGGAGGAGGCCGATTTCAACGAAGACGTGACGGAAGGAGACGGAGACGAGGAGCAGGAGGAGGCAGAGGAGGAGAAGGAGGTGGAGGGGGGGTTCTCTCTGTTGATTGCCTCCACAGCGCGCAGGTACTCGATTACCAACGGGTCGCTCCACGGCGCCCCCAACAACGAATCCTTCCCCGAACACCATCCCAGATGCCCTCCGCCAGGTGTCACAACGAGAATACAGTTTGGATTGGCGCTCAGTGCTTTTCTAGGTATTCCTCTTGCCGGCGCAATCGGGTCATCCTGCGCCTGCACACACAGAAGCGGGATCCGGACGTACGGTACAGATCGGCAGCTGCTCGCATCGAAGTAGTAATCCTCCACCGTTCGGTACCCAAATGACACTCTCGTTAATCCTTCATCGAATTCTCGAACCGTCCTTGCCGCTCTCGCCTTCACTAAATCGAATTCCCCGCCAATGCCCTCGAACAGAGCCTCATGCTTACGAAAGATCTTGCCAAGAACATTCGCCAAACGATTGCTGTAGACTCGATTAAACCCCTTACCGAAGTCGATGTCCGCCTCCACTAAGTCGAATGGATTGGCCAGAGAGACTGCGCCTTTCAAGGGGGTGTTGGAGCCCTCTTGACCTAAATAGCGAATAAGAATGTTGGCCCCCAGCGACCAGCCCACCGCATACAGATTAGCATCTGGATACAGATTATTGACGTGGCGCACTACCAGCCGTAGATCATCAGTGAAGGAAGCGGAATAGAACTGTGGGGTGGTCACTGGGCTGTCGGCACAACCCCTGCTGTTGAACACCATGGGTCGGTATCCCTCTCGCGCTGCACTCACCAGCAAGTGGCGCACGTAGGAGTCGCCACTCCCGCCAGTCAAGCCGGGTAACAGGATGAGTACGGGCGCGTCGGGCGGAAGATCCCGACGCAGCCACGTGGCGTTCTCTTCCATCAAGGACGAGTATGAGGACCTCCCCCTCCCTCCTCCACCTCCTCCTCCTCCTCGCCACCTCCTTCTCACTGCCGCCAGTACCCCGCCATCGCCCCCCACGGGCCAATCAAGCGCTACAACACCACCACATGGGGCGCGCAAACACTCTCTGCGGAACCTGACGTCCGGTCGAAGCCTAAACAGCGCGGCGAAGATCGTTTCCACGTGGCAGTTCGTCAGGAAGGGCACGGGTCGGTAGCTGTCCCGACCGGTTAGGATCGGACACCTCTCCGCGATCTTCAAGTTCAGCTCGTTCGGAGCAATCACCAGCTCCGGCGGCGCGCACTTCAACAGCCAGGAGTTGCGCACGTGGCGCGCGCACAAAATCGCGGCCAGAACGACCGCCGCTACTGTGAGCGGATTCATCGTCACCGCGGCCGCGTCCACCGCCGCCGATCTTGATCCCCACGACGTTAACCCAGCAACTACGGCGCCCCCCGATCTTATCGACTGCGATAGGAATCCCGATCCCAAGACGCTCATTTGGCAACCCATTCCGGAAACGACACGTGTTCTGCTTCCCCACACCGTCCGCGCGCGGGATAAAGCTCCGCGTCCGCGCTCCCCCCGCCGCAAACGCAGAGCTTTGAACGGATTCCCGCCGCGGCTGGAGAAGAGATCCCGGCTACGGAGAGGTGAGGGCGAGGATGATGACGGAAAGAGCAGGGGACCAGAGATGTGGTTGCTAGCAGTCGTAGCGCAGTCCCGGCGAAGAGGAGCCCCTGCTTCCTCCCCCTCTCCTTCGGCTGAGGAGAGGGGGGACATGCAGCAGCAGCAATAGCAGGAGGAACAGGAGGAGAAGAAGGAGAAGGAGCGGAAAGACGCCCTTGTCGAAGTCGACTGAGAACCCCTTGACGAAGAGGGGCTACATACCTGCGCACTGTGCCTTATTACTTCCGACTGAGCAGCCGCAACTGCCGAGATAGACGTCCTCGGAAGCGGAGAAGCGCAAGACCCATCTTTCTTCCAACCGAGGGGGACAGATGACGAGACGGGCGACAGCGATGACGGCCACGACGACGATGACGACGACGGTGATGGCAGATGGGACGAAGGCAAGGACGATTGGGAAGACGAGGAGGAGGAACGAGAAGAACGACAAGATCGACGGCTGACTCTCAATTGGCGCGCATCGGCGTGGAGGTCGAGAGAGGGCATAAGCACGACCGGTATGCGGGGGAATTTTGCCTTAAGCGCGCGGGACCCCACATACCGACGAGGAAAGGTGGGCGGGTAAGCATAAGCAGTAGAAGATGCCGCCGGCCTTGCGCACCTCCTACCTGACGTACACGCGGGGGGGGGTGAAAGAAAGAGGAAGGATGCCAACTGTTCATAAACTGCAGCAGCTTCTCCCGGGCGCAGGTGATGGACATGGCGCTCACAAAATCGTAATGGGCTTGCGTGCATGGTCAAGCCGAAGCAAGTCAGTGAGTAACTTCTGTCAACGCAAATCGACTCTGGGCAAATTACTAAAAATCCAGCCGAAGTACCGGGTCAAGAACCTGAACTGGGACAAGGGGGACAAGGAGATCCGAGCTGGAGATCGGCGAGACGCGCCCCCACCCTTGCACTTTCACACCCCAATCCCGCCCTCCGCGCCCTTTCCTTGTCTACTCACGTTTCTATTTCACATGTCTGTAACAAAGAAAACCCTCTCTCTCTCTCTCTCTCTCTCTCTCTCTCTCTCTCCCCCGGTCTCCACCTCACGGGTCTGGAACCAGAAAGCCTCTCTCTCTCTCTCACATGTCTGTAACCAGAAAGCCCTCTCTCTCTCTCTCTCTCTCTCTCTCTCTCTCTCTCTCTCTCTCTCTCCCTCACTGGTCTGGAACCAGAAACTCTCTCTCTCTCTCTCTCTCTCTCTCTCTCTCTCTCTCTCTCTCTGTGTGTGGGCATACGCACACTAGCACGTACAATCGCAAAATATATGTGAGCCAATTTGCGAGGGGTCACACAGCACGATGCATAAAAGTCCATCCCTTTTTCCTGTTTTTTTTTTTTCTTTTCTTACGAGAGCTGCCCACCAAACGTGCTTTCTTGCACAGTGGATAAGGAAAGCATCTTGCTACAACGTAGGATTCAGAGAGTATCTACCTGGGGAAAAGCTCCCCACCTGTCCCTATGTGGGCGGGTTTTGGTTATAAATGGGGCTTCGTTGTGGTTTGTGGCAGCAGCCCGCCCGCTGGGAAAAAGTTTGTGCTCCTTTATCCGACAGGGGGCTGCTAAATTTATATGGAAGCCCTTTGCTAGAGAAGAAGAAGGCTTCCTTTCTAAAGTAGCTTGGGAACTTCTGTGTTGCCCTAAAGAGGAGGGGGGCATGGATTTAATCGATCCGCAACGAAAGAGTGTAGCAATGCTAATGCGATGGATAGTCAGGGCGATAAGCGAGGAGGTACATTGGGTTGCTTTGGCAGAAACCATTCTGTCCTTGGAATGGAATCTACCCAGACCACCTGATGTGTGGACCTGTCTGCGTATCCCNGTTTCTGAATTTTCTCATGAAATTGTCATAGACATGTCTGAAGTAGCTCCAATAATTCCGAGCTAAAGCCGGGTGATGGTCCCGGTATCTCAATTTTCCAAATTCCATCCTTAGGCCAATTAATGTTTTCTAGTAGTTCCTTGCCTCATTTCTGGAAGTTGTCTGCTGAAGTTTTCTAAAGTTTTCTGAACGTACTCGTTATGGGACGCTGGGCCCGGTTCCCAATTTGTGCCAATTAGTGAGGATATGGTTGTATCTATGGGACGCTGGACCTGGTTTCCAGCAGGTGCTGCTCCCCACCAATAGATGGAGCTTGTTTCAAAAAAAAAAAAAAAAAAAAAAAAAAAAAAAAAAAAAAAAAAGACTGATCTTCGCCAGGTGAATAGCTTACGATAAGGGAGGGTAGGCAGACGTGCTCCGCTGGAGGAGAATGTGAATCATGGAGTTGGGCAGCGGCCTTATGCACGGAGGGGGCCTAGGGTTTGCTTTGCACGGTTACGACTGTGAGGAATTAGGATGATCGGAGGCGAGTTTGCCAACCTCCCCATGGCTAGATCTTCATATATGCTGTGACCTGGCTGATAATTGGGCGGACAGTCAATACCCTCGAGAGAGGGCAATCAATGTTGTTCCACCAGGTATATCGTCTTCAATCTTGTCAGTGGGACGTTGGACCCGGTTTCCAGCAGGTGTTGCTCCCCACCAATAGATTGGAGCCATCTATAAACCGGGGCTTGCTATTGGAGGATGCTCGTATCACCTCCAATAGCAGGTTGCCACAAATGTTTCGGTTAAACCACTAGTATCTTTCCCGCGTGGGAAAATAGGGAAAACTGGTTGTTTTCCCAATCGCCTGAAGTTTCGGAGGTCGGGCTCGACGACGATTGCCATTGATAAATCTGTTCGGCGGCCGTCGTTTCGTTTCGGCCTCCGAAAAGGTCGGTGGCCCACCGGAGGTCCGCTATTTTCCCACGCACCAAAGGTACCTAGTGGTAAAAAAAAAAAAAAAAAAAAAGTTGGTCAGTTGTTGGACCCAACTGAAGGTTGCCCCATTTCCCATATTGGCAGCAAACCTGTGATTGTTATCCCTTATGGCCACTCCATCAGCCGTAAACTTCTTCCAAAGGGGAATGAAGATACACCTGACATGCAAATGATGTAACTAGGCTTATGAGTCGACTGTACATCTGTGGTATGCCTTGCGTCGAAGAGAATTTGGGACTGGTGGAATTCCTATTGGGTCAGCAAGTCAGAAGGCAATCTAGCATAGGAAAGAGTCTAGGTACTCCTGGGGGGTATTCCAAAACACATGGAATTGAAGAAGGGTTGGGGCTACATGGCCCAAACAGCCAGAGTGGTGGGATGTAACGTCATGTGGAAGGAGAGGAACCTACAAATTTTCGAGGACAGAGAAATGACAAATAAGGAAATCAGGACCTTGTTCAAATCCTCACTGAAGAGGATCATTCAGGTGGATCGGAGAAGGAAAGGCCAAGGATCTTGGTTTGGGGCAACCTGGGGGTTGGGTGGGAAACTGGTGAAGTTGGAGGAGGGGAAATTGATCTTCGACAAGTGGTTTTGGGAGTGAGCTAGGGACTATGAACCTGGTACTCGGTTCTGTTGATCCACAGTAGGACGGCAACAGGGTATTGGAGAGGAGGGAGTACGCATTGGTTTTGTGGCTCTGTGGTCCGCTGAGGTCCACCCGTTGTATTAGACGGTTGTCCTGAAGAAGGTAGATAGTTAGGGTTGATAGTTTTCTTTTGTTTTCCTTGTTTTCAATTTTTGGTTTGTTAGGTTTCTCTGGCCTGTGGCTTAATTTTGTTGTGGAGAGAGAGGTTCCAGGACAGTGGCCTGGATTTGGTCACTTCTGTTCCTAGAGTATCCTCCTGACTCTCATGAGTTGCTGTTTTTCAACGAGTTACAGCTCGTAAGCTAAACTGGCTGAAGCTGCCAGGATAACTCCGGGTTGAATTGTGAGGTCCCCGGCCTCGATTTGACCTTGGTAATAATATGATGTTGTTCCCAGAAAGAAACAGGTCTAAAAGAAATATGCAATTGCAGGGACCTCCAGGAGCGAGATCCCACTAACGATGTATGTGGAGTAGTGTGACAACTGCGGGGCGTCCAACGACATCCGTGTGGCATCCTTTACTCCGCAATAAATGTTGAAAAAATATCAAAATGCCGCAATTCTGACAACGCAATGTTGTCCACCCGACGCGAACTGCGGTCAGCTGTCAGGTTGTGGATCTTCTGGCGATTCCTCTATTATGTTGTGCATGTGCTGTGTGTTGGCAATGCGGAGTGCCCCTAGGGCGTGCACTTTGCTGACCCACAGGGCCTCAACCGTCTCCATTACCTCCCAAGTGCCACTAAATTCGATGGCACAACTTGGAAAGGTTCAAAGGAAGTGGTATTTGTTTTTTTTTTTTTTTTGGGGGGGGTGTTGTTTGGGGTTTAGGGGTGACCATTTTTTGTGACAGTGGGTCTTCCGACCGTGTTCGTTGGCCATGGGAGGTGGGTGGCGATTGTTGTTTCCCTTGCCAGTATGAGGCAATGTGGAGGGCTGCAACTGCGGTCCGCATACGGGTCGTTGATCCATTCCGCATGGGTGTTATCCATGGTCCCCGTCGGCCATCCTGCCTTAGGGCCACGGAATGGACAACCAACAAGACTGATTAGACAAACCAAACTTGTGTGCAAGCATGTTCGAGATTAGACAACAAACAAGCCGCTCCATATTCCGAAGCGATGACGCACGTGTTGGGACTTGCAGTCACTGGGAGTGCTGGGAACCGAAGGCCCACCCGTGGCGTTTTGGATTGCATATAATCGGGCCCACCCATTGCCAGAAGACAGAAACCGGTCATAAAAAAGTCACACTTCTATAAAGTTGACCCGCAGCCTTTGGGACACATGTAGTTGTCTACACTAGAATTGCGCTGGGTCATTGCCAAGTTTTGCAAGGCCGTGTTCCGTAGTTGTGTGTGTGTGTGTGTGTGTGTGTGTGTGTGTGTGTGTGTGTGCTGTCTCTTATACACATCTAGATGTGTATAAGAGACAGATACGGGAGTGTCCGCGGTCGATAGCTGAGCGAGGTACTGGTGGTTTAAACGATCTTATAGACGTCATTCCATAACAATGGAAAACTATTCTCAGTCCGGCGGGGGTGGATCCCCCTGGTACCTGGTATATTAGCCGGCCACTGGAAACTGCCCCGGTTTTCTAGAAACTAGTGAATATTGATGTTCAAGGTAAGAGGTCCTTTCAGTGTTGGGAAAGCAGCAATCCCGATTCATCTTCTCTAGTACAAGAGGATGGCCCCACTCACCCACCGTTTACAGAAGATGTAGCTCAAGTGCGAGTTTGGGAAGACTGTGACGAAGAAGGAAATTGGACATGTAAATTGTTTGCAAAGGGACTGGCAATTACTGACCTTAAATTGGACCCAAAAATGTGGGGCTGGAGAGGGAAAGGGGCTGGTAGGCAGGATAAACCACTGGTATGTTACTCTGTTGAACAAGGGTACTTGGCACAAGCTTCTACTCGAACACCCAGATCTGTTGCAGTAGCCAGATGGATGCAAGTGTTAGATGTCAATCCTGAGCAGATTGAAAAGAAGTTGGTCCGCCGCGGCGTTGTACAATCAGGAGGATGTCTCAGGTAGTTGACCACGGGGGGGGTTGGATTCGATGGGTTTGGCATGTGTTTTGATTGTTTTACTCCAGCGTAAATATCACCTGCCGTCGTCTCTTTTTAACCTAGGTTTTCCCCATGCCCCCTCCCTGTTGCCGGTCCTCACTGTCATATTTTGTGGTTGCCACTAGGTGGGGGCCAAGATGGAGAGGAGCGAGAGGTTGGGTGGGGGATAGGGGGAGGAGATAGGACAATTAATAAGGGATGGGCAAAACTCTGGTTGGCGAAATGGCAGTGGGAAGAGTAAGCATGGCAGATGTGTGATAATACTAATAATAACAAGAATAGAATATGTCGCGGATGTTGCTATCCTCTGCTAGTAATTCGATAAAAACAATCTTGTGGGTCGCTG